TTTCTTCATTGATATCAGCCTGTTGTGAGAGATGGCTTTCAAAGTCTGGTGAAAAATTCAGCGTTCTCCAAAGTCTCACTGTGGATATGGATTACTGGAGCTGGAGACTGGAGCTTGTTGGTGGAGAAACTTAGTCTTTTGAATGTTAAGCATCAGTCCCATTTTCTTGTATGATTCAGTAAAGATGTCAATGATTGCCTGAAGGTCTGCTTCCAAGTAAGCACACATGATAGCATCAGCAGCATAGTGGAGCTCAATGATTGAGGTCAGGGTGGTCTTGATTTTGCCTCAGAGTTGGCTGAGGATAAACAGCTTACCATCCATTCGGTATTTTAACTCTGGAAGCTATTTAGTGGTCAACTGTAACATCACAGCAAAGAATAGTGAGAAGAGTGTTTGAGTGATGATGCAGCCTTGCTTACCTCCTGTTTTAACCTCAAAGGGATCTGTGATAGAGTCATTACTGAGAACCACTGCTGATATACCATCATGGAGCAGACAGAGAATGATGACAAATTTTGATAGGCATCTGTACTTCACAAGGATCCTCCATAACACTTCTCAACTGACAGAGTTGAAAGTTTTTGTGAGGTCAAAGAAGGCCATGTAGAGAGGCTTATGTTGTTCCCAGCATTTCTCCTGCAGCTAGCAAGCTGTGAAGATCATGTCAGTTGTACCTCTTGAAGCCCTAAACCCACACTGGAATTTCAGGAAGAGCTTTTCAGCAACTGGAAGGAGACAGTTCAAGAGGGTTCTCACAATGATCTTTCCTGTGGGGGACGGCAGGGCAATCCTTCTGTAGTTTCCACAGTTGGACTTGTCTCCTTTCTTGAAGATTGTCACAGTAGTTAAGTCCCTGAGGTGATCTGGGATTTCCTCATCATTCCACATCCTTAACATGAGGAGATGAAACTGTGATGTGAGCTCCTCTCCTCCCTGGTTGAAGATTTCAGCGGGGATTCCATCTGTTCCAGATGCCTTGTTGTTCTTTATCTGTTTGATGGCTTTCTTCACCTCATCAAGGGTTGGAGGGATTCCAAGATCATCTCTGACTGGGTGTTGTGGGATGGAGTTGAGAACACTCTTGTCAACAGCAGAGTCTCAATTGGGAAGGTCTTCAAAATGCTCTGTCCAATGGGCATTGATGGTTCCCCTTTCCTTGATCAGATCTCCTCCATCCTTAGGACTCAAGGGGGTTGGTCCCTGAGTGCTTGGACAATAGATGGCTTTGGTGGCACTGAAGAAACCATGCATATTGTGGATTTCAGCGACATGTTGAATCTCCTTGGCCTTGTCTTCCCACCATTTGCTCTTCAAATCACGGGTCTTCCTTTGGGCCTCTGCCTTGGCTTGTTGGAGATTGATAGATTCATAGATGTTAGGGAAGGGACCTCAACAGATCATCAAGTCCGACCCCCTGCACAGGCAGGAAAGAGGGCTGGGTTTAGATGACCCCAGCTAGATGCCTATCTAACCTCCTCTTGAAGACCCCCAGGGTAGGGGAGAGCACCACCTCCCTTGGGAGCCCATTCCAGACTTTGGCCACTCTAACTGTGAAGAAGTTCTTCCTAATGTCCAGTCTAAATCTGCTCTCTGCTAGCTTGTGGCCATTATTTCTTGTAACCCCCGGGGGCGCCTTGGTGAATAAAGCCTCACCAATTCCCTTC